ATGCATTTAATGTTCTTAGAGCTGCTTTTAATGATACAAACCTGGTAACTGATACATCTGGATTTGCTGCAGAGGCTTTGATTGTCTCAATCCGCTCTCTCTCTTCTCCAGACTGGGAGGTCCGAAATAGTGCTTGTCTGGCATACACTGCCTTGGTACGACGCATGATAGGATTTCTAAATCTTCAAAAACGAGAATCTGCTCGACGTGCACTAACTGGGCTTCAATTTTTTCACAGGTTTGGTCTCTATGACTTTATGTTAATTATTTATCTGTTTCGATTCTTCTCTTCAGGTGACAAATTTTAATTTTCTGTGGATTTTATATGTTCATTTTATTTGTACAAGGGGAGAAATGGTTAGGAGCAATATGGAATAGTAGAATTTATACCTTCTATTTTCCTATATTGTATTTCTAAGCATTATTACCCTTTCTAATTGGTTATCTCTGCAGAATACAATCTAAGAGAAGTCTTCTGGCATATTTTATGCATTGGGAAGAACGTGCTACCTTGTCATCTATTTAGTGAGGATTCCTTTTGTTTGTCCATGGTCTCTTGAAAGTAAAAAATAAAAATAAAAATAAAAAATAGTTGTTCTCCTTTTTCACAATATGAAATCCTACTTTGTGTTGGTATAGGACTGAAAAAAATGAAAAGGGTTCCCTTATGTAATTAAATTATGCTGCAGGTTCTCACAAAAGCAAAAGAGAATTATTTGCTAAGCATCTATATTTATTTTCCACAACGATCAAGGGTTCCATGCATCACTTGATTCTGGAAATTAATTGGAATTTGAGAGGTTAGAATCTATTTTCTGTAATGTTTTTTGCAACTTTTCTTAAAGGAGCTTGACATACCATCTGGATTCTTACCTGTTGATGGTTAAATATATTCTCCTATTATCATGAATTGTTGATGATTTACATTTTTTTTTTTAATGCTGATTAACATTTTAAAGGTTATGTGAACATTGATTTTATTTTCTTGCCTGAAGGTACCCCACACTGCATCCATTTCTTTACAATGAACTGAATGTTTCAACTGATGCACTTGGGGATGCATCATCTGGATGCTCGGAATCCAACTTATCGAAGGTTGTACACCCAAGCTTGTGCCCTGTTTTTGATTCTTCTATCCAGGCTCAAGCCTTCAACAATTGTTAGTGAGAGTGGACATAACTTGGATCCATTCCTATTTATGCCATTCATCAGGAGGTGCTCTACTCAAAGTACTCTAAGAGTTCGCGTTCTTGCATCTAGAGCTTTAACAGGACTGGTCTCCAATGAGAAACTGCCAACTGTCCTCCTGAATATTGGCTCTGAATTGCCTCGCATGGAGAGTCAAATTGCAGCTTCTTCCTTTTCCTTCTCCCTATTGAACCCAAGCAATGGAACAGTCTCTGCTAACTATAATTCGATTCATGGAATGCTATTGCAAATGTGTTCTCTTCTAGATGCAAATTGCAGAAGCCTTGCTGATTTCGCGAAGAAAGAGGATATTCTTGGTGACCTGTTCAAAGTTCTAGTGAAGCATTCATGGATTGCAAGCCCGAAAAAGTGTCGTTGCCCTATCTTTAATGGCTCTTTTATATGGGTGTTAGATCACATGCTCAGTATTGCACAAACAGGGCATATCAGTGAAAATTTATTTTCCATCCGCAGTCTGTTGTGGAAGCTATGTACAGAATGCTTAGATGTAGAAGATTTTTATGGAGGGTCATATTATGATCCAACAGTAGCAGAACTTGGTGAGCAAGCAACCATATCCTATTTTGGTTGTGTGCTGCGAGCATCTAAGGATGATGTGGAGGAGGTTCTTCAGAAGCGACGGGCACATTTATCACCTGACGTAAAGTTGTTGAACCTGCCTGAATGAAAGGAATCTTTTGTCAGACTCGAGGAGAGGCTGATTTGTTCCTTGTCAGATTCATCATACGAAGTTCGACTTGCAACACTGAAGTGGCTGTTGAAGTTCCTGAAGCTGACAGAATCTAGCAGTGATGTCCACCATTTGTCTAGCAGCGCGATCAGAATTATTCAGCATTGGAGTAAGTCAAACCTCCAGGAGACAGCGGTTAAGCTCCTGGACTCTGAGAAGAATCATAGATGTAAATATTACATTCAGAGGATTCTTTTCACTTGGAACTTGCTGCAGTTTCATAAACTCGGAAACCAAAATTCTGCTGACATTACCTATGTCGGTAACTTAGATTGTGATTCAACATTTCAGTTCTGGGATAAGTTGTTATCCTTATACAATGTCACAAGACATAAAAAGACACGAGAGACACTCATCTGCTGCATGGCTATATGTGTGAAAAAGTTTTCAAGTTTATTAACCAGCAGTGTTCTGGTTTACATAGAGGAGAAAACTCTCAGATCCAGTGAATCCTGTCAACTGGAAAGAGCAGCACCCTTGTATGAATGCATAACCGTTTTTGTCAACCTGATCAAAGAGGATAGTTCTTCATCTGAGCCAGTGACCATGCGCAATGCAGCAGCAGAATCTATAATTGCATCTGGTTTGCTTGAACAAGCAGCAATTATTGGTTCTTGTATGTTCAGTAATGAAATCCCCACTGGACTTTCCGGTTCTTGTTTTGAACCAAAAGAAGCTGCTAATATGTATGGTCGTCAGTTGCTGGAGATATGGTTCATTTGCATCAAGCTGTTGGAGGATGAAGATGATGGGATAAGACAATGGCTTGCCTTGAATGTCCAGAAATGCTTTTCTTCAAGAACATCTAGAAGCAGCTTTCACGCTGTTGGTGTTCCAACGCAAGTGGAGAAAGTGATCGAATTGAGTTTTGGGTATCTGTCTTAGATCTTTGGCCACTGGATTGATTACTTTGATCATCTTTTACAGTGGGTAATAAACGGAGGAAATTATGTAGCATCAAAAGGAGATATTGTCAGACGGGTTTTTGACAAGGAAATCGATAATCATCACGAAGAGAAGCTGTTGATCTCTCAAATATGCTGCTCTCATTTGGAGCAGCTTCCAATTTCAAAATCATGGTTGGCCGATGGGCCAATCACACAGAACTTCAAAAATTATTTATACAACTGGAGGAGGAGATTTTGTAATCAGTTGACATCGTTTGCTAGGGACCATGTTGAGAATTTTGGAGGAGTTGATTGGATAGGTGGTGTTGGTAACCACAAAGATGCGTTTCTGCCAATATTTGCAAATTTACTTGGCTTTTATGCACTCTCAAACTGCATGTTCAATGGGAATATCGAGGGCGATATGCTTCTATCTGATGTTGTTGAACTTGGTAAAACTATCGACCCGTTCTTGAGGAACCCTTTGATTTCTAACCTGTATTTGTTAGTTGTAAAATTGCATGAGAGAGAGGTAGGAGCCACTGCTGACGTGTTGACTTCTAAATTCATAGACGACTTGATTTGGGATGGTTTTGATCCCTATTTTCTTCTCAAGTAACATGAATTTGTTCACTAGATGCATATTTTATACACGTCCAAATATGGCTTTTAACTTTATAGATTGCTGTATCATAGAACTGAGTGTAAGATGTTTATTTAGGATTGTTCAAGTTATGTCCTGGACAGTGAGATTTTATCTTTCGTGTTGCTTCATGCACCCTTCATTTGTTAGGCTTCCAGGTGTAATTCCCCTTTAATTCTTATGGTGTCTGGGTTGCCCAATAAGGATAATCTGCCTTCTCTCTTGGGCGATTGAGTCTATCAACAGTTTTTTTTTTTTTTTCGACTTTACTAGTCTAAGTTGGCTTAGCATACCCTGTTCTGTATTTATGCATTTATTTATGAACAATAGCAACAGATTTGATGCAAACCGACTTTATTGTTATTTGATTTTTGTTATCCATTAATTGGAGAAATTTTATATTATCCTACTAATAACTATTAAGAGAAAGAGAGAGACAGACACGTAAAAGGGCGAGAGATTAAAAAAAGAAATTGATGGAGTCAAAACTGAACATCAGAGTGTGTCTCTTCAACAAGGGAGTAAATGGAAGAATTGATGTGCAACTCCCAAGCATGGGAACCCTATAATGCCCCTCATAAGTCTCTTAACCGATCTGTACTTTTTGTTGAAGAGAAACTAAGTGAGTGCCAACAAAGTAAGAAAATTAATAGCTAATTATCCCAAAAGTGATAGTGCTAAAGGTTTCTGATTTTATTCTTACATGATAGTTTTCTTTTTTGACAGTAGAATATTCTCGTCCACCACTCCCCTTCCCAAACTAAAACAGCACCAAAAATAAAACACACCTACCCTTTAGTCAATCATTAAATCGTCTTTTAATCAAAACCAACTTAAATTTGATACCACTAATTATCTATAAATAATACCAGAACACATCCCTTAGCTATTTATCACATGTTGAGCCTCCTCCCCTTATTACAGCTCCACCAAAGTCCATTAACTGGCCCAAGTACAACAGACAGGCTCCAAGCCGCTGGCCAACCAATGGCACCATATCAGACCATCAACCCATGTCCCATTATATACCATTCTGATTTACCTCACGAGTTGAGCAGAAATCAAATTAAGCAGCAGAAACCATCGTTTAACCATAAAAAAAAGACCTAAGAACATAAGATGTAACCAGTACATATATCAGAATTTTACTTGATGTTCAACGAACCATGTCTGGAAAACTAAAAGCTAAGCACCATGGGAATCAGTCACTACGAAGAAAAATAAAGATGAAGTGACTGTAGAACAAAGCAAGATCATTGATACAGAAGTGCTGCATGCATGAGCCGATATGCTGAAAAGAAAATTCAGCATAGGTAAACAAGAAGGCCTAAAACATTTTTCACACTGCACAAAAAACATGCTTAATTACAAGAAGGCCAAAAGACAAAAAATGTAAAACACAACGCAGCAAGCATTGCAAGAAGAGGAAAAACACATTTGCATCTTTTTTCTTTTCTTCTCTATATTAGTATGTTCTCTTTATAGTTAATACTTCTATCAATCCACGTATCCTTGTTCCTTCACTGTTTATCTACACTTGACTTGCTCCAACAACAATCTTCAACATACTGAATACAGCACATACGAGCAAAACCACCACAATCTTCTTTGATGCTAACATCCTGAGGTTCACCCTTACACCATGCTTTCTCATTAGCCTCATCACCGTAGCACCCAACATCAAAAACCAAGAACAAACAGCACATAATGCCATCTTCATGGTTTCGGTGGATCCACACACATTTCCTGCATCACTTGGGAGCTCCACAAATGACAATTTAGGATCAACATTGTTTCCCTCTGCTTGATACAGCCCCAGCCCAAGATTCTCGTTCAGCCAACTTGATAGCCATACAAGAAATTTTGCCAACCATGCAACCTCATCATCAGAAATGGGGCGCTTCATCCAGTCACCCTTGTATTTGACATCATGCAATTCATGGTTGAAAACTCTTCTGGGCTTAAAGATTTCATCCCGCAATGGCTCATGTTTTACTTCTGGAGTAAATGAGATCTGTTTCACAGTATGGTCACCAAATAAACAGCTCAACTGCAACTTTAATGAATCTATACACTGAAGGTTGTGTGCAAAATTATCACCAGAATTGGCTAGCAACTCAGCTTCAGCACGCAGTATGAACAACTGCAATAACAACATCATAACCAATCCTGATCCATAGTTGGAAGGGTGATCTATGTACCCAACAAAAATACAAAATAACAACTATAGAAACCTGGAGTAGCTGTTGTCCACCATCTTCTCCATCACTAAAAAGCCTTAAATCTTTGTTCCAATTCTCATGCAGGAAAGATCCATCAGCATCACTCTCACATAAACCATCTTCCCAATCCTAATAAAGGTGGTAGGGGAAAAAAATCAAGGACATGAATTTCATTAAGGCAATATAATAGCAACAACAAGAAGCACTTTCAAGATATCGACATTAACGAACTAAAAAAGACATGATCATTTGGTTCAAAACCACTTCCAGAAAAGACATGAGTCGACTTTAAAAACTTCAAAGATGGCAAGGCAAGAGGTTTGAATGTTTAGTCTCAAAATCGTATCAGAGAAGTGAAACAAAAGCACACAGAGAGATGAATATACCTGCAACTGTTCACGAATTAAAGGAGCATATCTATGTAAACTGCTAAGCATTGTTTTGCCAGACCCAGCTTGTTGTGAATGAAAAGAGGTATCAACATTCTTTATAAGATCAGTCAACTCTTTAGATGATGTCAGTATTTTTAACACCTGAAAACACAAAGTACAAATTAAATAAAATTGTAAAAGTTGAAGCAAAACAGCCTACACACAATATCCAATGGAAATAAATAAATATGCAGCTAATACTCACAAGATAGTACTGTAAATACGCAAAAGCTTGAATTCCCAAAACAAAGATGTTTTTGTTTCATATAATTCAACCGGAAAATAATGCTACTAAAAAATAGGACAGCTACTTTTGTTTCCCCAGTTATAAATAAATAATTACTCTCAAAATCACTTTCTATTCATGACAGACAGATCATCTTCCAATGAGTTGAGTTCAGCTTATTGAGAAAAATTCTACAAGTGCAGGCAAATGCTGCAATGAAGACTGAACCAACCTTCACCAGACTAGATCACATGTGACTACAAATTCGTCACCATGCCATCAAGACACTGCTTATGCTCAAACACTAGGTTTCTGACCACTGGAGGTAACTTCCAGCATCGGGTATAGCCTTAAACCTTCTAATTAATTTTCATCCACAACACAATTCCAGAGAACTCAGTACATGTGCCTTATGCTCAAGCTTTTTGGTTTCTTTTCACTAGCAAAGTCACAAGACTCCATGAGCATCCGACTTAAACCTATAAATATGAAGTCTCCTGCCTAAAGTGCAGAGCAGAAGATAATTATGCAATAAAACTGGTTCGCTATGTAGTTGCTGGTAGGGTCAAACACTCCATGGGTGCTAAAAACCAAGATGAAATACTGCTCAAGTAACCCGTTGAGGTTTGTATAGCCAAGGAATGATGGTTAAACATGAGGGAAGTGACATATGCAACCTGGTGTATGCATGCCTTACAAAGTGTACATGAAATCCAATTCATCTGCACGCTAGATTTGACTGTTGATTTAAAATCATGCAGATTAATCTGAGATATTTCAAACCCCTGAATAACAATCCAAAATTATAGTGTAAGATATAACAAAGAAAGTGCATGTAAAGTTATGTGAGCCCTCCTAAGCTCTACTCATACCCCTACCCACCCCACCAAAATAATAATAATGATAATTATAATAATTCGGAAATGGAAAGGCTGACAATTAACAGCAAGGAATTTCAAGTAGCTCAGACAAAATAAATAAATAAAAGATAGCATGAGCCCAACATGTAAGAGCCCCAAGCAAGATGAAACAGAACACAAGCCAAAATCATGCTTAGGTCCAAAAGCAAGAGGCCCTAATCATCTCTGAATTAATTTTCCATATAAAGCATGAAACATGCTGAAAGAAAAAATCACCAGGATAAAGATGGAAAGGAAAGCTGAATTCTGAAAAGCAATAACCCCAAGGAAATGGATTATATTTTAGTGACAAACCTTCAATACCATCTGGACTATCATTTCAGTATCAGTGTGAATAAACTTGTGTGCAAACCCAATAAAATGCATAACCAGTGAACTGTAGTACAGATAATTGGACAGTAGATAACCCTTCCATGAAGACGAATATATATTCTTCCCATCTTCCTTCTTCACATCTTTCCCTGACCCATCTGTAATTGCATCAAGTTCTGCAAAATCATCCAAACTAATCTTCCACGGTTCCAAATAAGTAACCCACACAGAGAACACCTGTGAAGCATTCTTAATCGAAGTCCCCACAGGACAAAATAGAAATGACCTCAAGATAAACCTATACACCGGCCTCTGAATCCAAGCATTCCATGACCCAACCACACGCATAGGACTATTTACAGATGCAGCCAATTCCTTCGATTTCACATCAAATGAACCCGAAGAAACCCTACTCCAAGTAGGACTCTCGAAATGTTCAATCCCTTCTTTCACTGCACTCGCACTCAAATTCAAAAACTTAACCAACAACTTCACAACGTCACCTAAATTAGGAGTTGGCGGTGTCTCCCCTAAAACCGACCTCAACTTAAACGACAACCCCAATGACTTGCAAACGTTAATATTCAAAGGCGAGAAATCATTATCAACCAACCAATAATTCACCAACGTATCAACAAAAAACTCAGCTCTATGCAAGACTGACCCATCATTTCCATACCCATAATGCAAAAGCGAGCTACGATAGGGATGGTGTGAATTCAAATCACAAATAGGCACAAACACACGCAAATACGCATACAATAGCCGCATATAAAGATCATCATTGCCCTCCACATTTCTTTCATTTCCATGTTTCGAATGCGAAAAACACGGAATAGATGATGCCCAATTCTCTAATTTGAACTTCTTGGGTCTTTTAGTTGCTAAACTATTCAAATTCTCACTATTTCCTTTACAAACAGGGTAATAAGCGAACCAGAGCATGAAATATTCAAAGACATTTAATTGTACTTGATAATATAAAGAGCCTCTTCCTTTAATCGGATCTTCTTTGATTTTACCTTTAAAGAGAGGGGAAAGATTGTTTAAAACCTGACAATCTTTTTCGCCTGATAACATAAACCGAGCCCACTCCGGCAACCGTTCGATTGGGAACACGTATTTCACTAAAGACTGACGATCAACGGCGAAGATTGATTGGAAAAGTACGCTGTTCGGAGAGAGGACGTTGAAAACCCTAGAAGTTAAAGCGGGGTCGTTTGCTTTGTGGATTATGTCGAGCCATCCACCGCCGCTGGATGGTTGGTTGGGCGGCGACGTGGAGTAATCGAAGCCGTAGAGCTTGCAGATTAGGGTAGGGAAGGTGAGGGAGAAGAAGTGGCGGGATTGATCGGGAGAGTGAGAGTGTAAGAAAGAGTCGACGGAGGCGCAGACGGAGGAGATCTGAGGAGGAGTGGAGGAGGAGAGGATGGCTGAGGCGAGGTCTTGGGATTTGGAAAGGGAATCGACGGTGTACGAGTGCGGGTGCATGGTGAAGGCGAGTGTAGCGGATTTTTCTAGGGTTTTGGTTGCTGAGAGAGAGAGAGAGAGAGAGGGAGGGGGGTTTTTGTACGTTTGAAAGATTTGAAAACAGAAGGGCAAATGGCGGGTTTCTAAGGGGGTGTGGGGTGTACGTGGCGATAAATTTAAGGTCTGGCGTGACGGTGATGTGTGGGGTCTGGCTGGAGGAGTTTTTTTTTTTTTTTTTTAATTGAATACGGCCACGGCTGATTCGTATTTTGTTTGATTCATATTTTGTTTAATTTCAGTTCTGATTTTAATTCAAAATTGAAAAAAAAAATTAACCGAAATAATTTTAATTTTTTATTTTATTTAATTTTTAAAATTTTTATTCTATTTTTATTGTAAATCAATTTTTTGTATTGTTATTTAAATTTTGATAATTTGATTTACAATATGTTTGAATAATTAATATTTTTTTATCTTTTTATGTTTTAGATATAGATTAATGACCTTGTATTCAAATTTTAATATTTTATTATTTAATATAATTTTATACTTTAGTTTTATTTAAATCAATATTTATTATCTTTAATATAGATTAATTTTAAAACATTTAGACTTAATTTTTTTGACATGTTTATATTATTTTAAAAAAATTGAAAAAAGAATTAAAAAATTAGTTTTGATAAAAAAAAAATAACTAATAATTTAGTTAAGGTTTGACTTTTTTGTGGATTTGGCTAACTAGAAAACGAATTAAAATTTTAAAAATCAAATAGAAAAACAAAATAATTACCTTTAAATACGACAGGTTTTTTTATAAGAATGGTGAAAATTGTACGAAACTATCGAAATACCAAGATAAGTATTTATTATTATTATTATTATTATTCAGTAGTAGTAGTATCCGCTTCCAATTGAAAATACCTACGACCATGGTACATCCTTGCATTCGATCCAATTGGATTGGATCAAGGGAAGGGTTTTCTTCATTAATCGGATATCCATTGAAATAGTAGAATCCAAGTCAGAGAATTTTTATAAAGAAATTTATTGTTAGAAATCACATAAAATCTTTTTAAAAAATGAAGAATGAAAATTAGAAAATCTGCATCTATAAATCATAACATAATCAGATAAAATCTTATAATAAAACTATAAAGCAAGGTCCGAAATATAAATCCATTACAAAAAATTATATATGAATTAACAAAGAATAATAAAAATATTGAGTTGCTTATAGGTCAGCTGAACCGTATTTTTATGTCATTTGAGATTATAGTATATGGAGATTGCCTGCTAACCTCTTATGATGTGTAAAGAAAATCTAAATTGTCAATGCCTCTATTAAATGAATATGTTATATTATTGAATTCGATTAAACCGTCAAGTTTTAAAAAATCATATCAACCCTTTTAATTTAATATGGTTCAATCAGTTCAGTGCCAAAATATTTACCTTAAACTAAATCATTATCATTTTATATCCAGCAAAAACATAGGTAATCCAACCCTTCTTTAACTTGGAGATCTACTTTGTTATGTACAATATAGTCTCGTTCTTTTACTGTGAACATGCAAATTGTAAATCAAGTCCTATGAAATGAAATGTTGTGATTGAATGGATTAAAACAATGGATTTTGATCTCAGCTCAAAAATATAATTTGAGAATAGCACTTAATCATAAAACAAAAAACGAAGAGGGCTAATTATATGTATATACATATATAAACACTAAAATGCATCAATCTTCATTGAACTATTGATTAATGAAAAAATAATTGTACCCTATTTAAGATTATATTTTTCCACCACATCAAACTTTTGAAATCCTTTCTTGTAGTATTTTAATTAGGATTTTTTCCGTATGTAGAATGTGTACTCTTCAATTTTTTTTATTTTTATCTTTATTGAAACTAAATGAGACATTATATTTTTAAAAAAAATTTATTTTAGATCTTTTTTATAATGTCATCAATCGAGTAATCGCCGTATCACATTATAATATAAGAAGTCTAAAAAAAGTATCAATCATTGATTGGTGTTATTATAAAAAAAATGATATGAAATAAAATATATCAAAAAATAGACAATCTCAATTAAGTCAAAAAAAAAAAAAAAAGTAAAGAGTCTCAATTTTTTTTAAAAAAAAAAATTGAAGAGTATAGGTTTTTTTTTTTTTTTTAACTCACACACAAAGGCTCTTAGCAGAACTAGTTTGTTAAATGAACATGTGGCATCTTATCATAAGAGACTACTATCATTAGACTACAAACTCTTTCTTAAGAGTACAGGATTTAGATGCAGAGAAAACCCATTTTAGCTAGATTTCCATTCAAATTCAAGGAATTCTGATTTCATGGCATATTTCTCAATTGTCGGCTACTTTTATCCCGATTTTAAAATCACTTGCTTAAAATTCTAAACATACTCTCAAGAATTATTTCGGACTCGAGAGAAAATTACCAAAACTTTAAGAATCAAAATTAAACCATGATAGTGTTTTTTAACTTCAAATTGAACGTGTTGATTTTAGACTACATGAATGTCTAATACAACGAGTAGGCTTAAATGCTATCTTTGAACTACGAATAAAATGTTTTGAAAGTTCAAAATACTAAGATTATTTTTCCTTGTTTGTGAAAAATATTTTTAGAAAAATATCCTTCTCTAAATCAATAGAAAATAATTCTAAGTCAACCTCTTAATAGTGTTTATTGAAAAAGAAATGTTTTAACTTTAAAAAGAAAAAAAAAACTATTTTTGCTCATATTAACAACTAACAATATTCACCAAATCACTTTAACAATCACTAAAAACGTCGTCATCACTATCATAAAAACAAACTATCATCACTAATCATTACTATTGATATCATTATAATCATCATCTTATTACTAATCATCATAACATCACGAGCTTTCAAACACCACCATCTTATCACCATTTCACCTTCACTACCATCACCAATAACATCATTATTTTCACAACAACATTATTATCATTAAGTGTCATCGTTACCGTCATTATCTTGTTATTAAAATAATCACCATCATTTTATCCTTGTTGTAGCTTTCGAGCATCGCCACAGCAACCATAACAATTGTTAACCACCAAAATTATCACAACAAATTGTCATAAATGCTGTTACTAAAAACATCATTACCACTACCACCACTATTATTAATACAATTATTTTATTATTATTATTATTATTATTATTCAAAAACCAGCTTCAGATTTGGCTGGCTTCTCCTCCTGGCATGAGGGCTGTTCTTGATGCTGATGGGATGAGGGTTGTTTTTGTTCGTGGCTAGTTTTTTTGTTTCTTTATCATTTGTGAAAGATAAAAAAACTCATTTTTAGAGAAGAAAAAGGCAGTGGCCCCAGCATCAAACAAGCTCATGACCTTCCTTACTCATTGTTTTGTTTTGTTTTTTTTTTTTTTTTAATATTATTGTTGTTTTTTGGAAGCAGAAAGAAAACTTCTTTTCAGACATTTAGAGCAATGGCCGTCCCTGAATGAGATTCATGATTAAAGTGCGCAAGCACTCTCAAAACGGAAGTCTCAATTCTCACGCCTTTGCTCCATCACCGGCTATGAGTGCTGTCTGCAGCATGCTCAAGTACTCCTAGAATGATTATAGGGATAAACTGCCTTAACAAGGAACACAAATTGATAAACGGTCCAGAATTTCTTTTTTAAAATACAAACCAGAACCATAACAAGTTAATTGAAGTGACCTTTCTGCTGAGAGAGCCAGCCAGCCCATGAATTGCTCGGACGTCAATAATAGACTGTTCTTAACCTTATAAAAAAGTATATCGTTAATTATAAATGGCATGCTTCTAGATAGACAAAACACCTGAATTTTCCATTACTGGGTAAATTTTTTTTTAATCCATGTATTTTTAATTTGATCGATTAATTTTTGTATTTTTTAATTCGTACAATTAACCTTCGTATTCTTTTAATTCATTTAATTGATCCAATAACTAATTTTTATTAAGTCTCCACATTAACTATACATGCTAATTATGTGCTAACTAAATAATTTTCATTATGAGATGAATTTTTATATTCATGGAGCCCTCTATCACTATATAAATTTCTTAGATCTATTTTTCCGGGATTATTTATTAATATATTGATTTATTTTTCTATGACAATTTATTTAGCAATATAGACACTATACGATTATAAAAAGTCATCTTATAAATAAAAATATATATATGATAATGCCATTTTTTCATGCATTGGAGAATGGAGACTTGATATATATGTAGTTGTTTGGTTAATTCGATAA